TGATTATTTTTAAGATGAAGATCCCAAAGCAAACCAGTCGTTTTTTTATTTTTTTTAATTTATTTGTTTGTTTTGCAATAATAATTACCCATGATGCTTAGAGAAATAATGGTTGAAACGTGAATAAGCTTATAATCGTTTTATCCGAGTATTTAAGGAATAGCTTTGGAACAAAAATTCATGTAAAATAAATTTGAAGTGCACATTTAATTTATTGAGAAATAGGCATTATAGATTTTCGCATATATCTATCGTATCACATTCTTTATCGTGAATAATTATAGTGCTGGAATTTGTTTTCTGTGACCAACTTTTCTGCTTGGAATTGTAAAACTATAAACCTCTGGCTTCTCTTATATAAGTATTTAATATTACTCATACAGTTCTCGTAAGTGATAACAGGAGGCACGAAGCAGAAATAAAAATTAATTGATGTTTCTAATACTTATAATAGTTATCTATTTCTTTTAAAAAAAAAAGTCTCCTGGTGGATCATCGGTAAATTTTGGATTTAAAATCTGGGGCTTGATTCTCTGCAGTGGAAAGAGCGCACATCGCCTTTTGTGTATCTTTGCGCTAAAACTAACATACTGCTACGACATCGAGGTCACGTGACTAGTATCATGCCACGTCGTTCTCGAACATTCACGTCCTTTCCTTAAATCTCGTGATCCTTCTATATATAGTGTAGTCTTGTATATATAAGACCGGCCACGAAGCGACGGGAGGATGAGTAATTGAATGTATGCTGACAGGGAGAATATTGTTGGGCACGTGAGACGTTCATTGAGAATTATAGCGTTTGTTATAGAGCGACTGTTGAAATTAAGTGTATCGTAGAGTTGTATTCAGAAAGAATAAACCAGTTTTATTTAAGAAAGGACTTGTGTAGCTAAAGTTTCGTCGGAACGAATTTACGGAAAATTAACTAACGAACGGAGACGTAACAATACAAAATATTTAAAAAAATATGTATACTCAATCTGTGTTGCGACTTTCGTCAAATAAAACAGTCTCAGTGTAGAAGTTGGTTTTAATGGTATACGTCGATTTTTTTTTTTGTTGTATACACTTTTTGACGTGCCAAGTTTTTATACCAGCATCGTACAATTAATTAAATGTAAACCCTACGAAACAATAGTTATGAACAGTGGCACAACTAAACGTCAATACGTCCCTTGAGCAACATTTCATGAGGGGGGGGGGGGGTATCTACTGTTGTTAACGTTTCAAGAAGCCTCCAATAGGCTTGATAGGAAGTCTTAGGGTACAAGGACTTGAACCAACCAATAAAATAGGTAGTTGAGCTTGTGCATATTCTGTTATTTTTCATAAGATTTTATCAACTTGTCTTCATAGAGAATGGTATTATCTTCTTATGTCGTACTTTTGTTTTGAGGGGGGTGACTGTTCTGTGTCAGTATTATTTACAACGAAATTAAAGGCAAGTTTGATTTTCGGAATAGAAAGTTATACTGAAAGTTTAGTTTGTTGTCAAGCGCAAATTTGTATAATTGATTATATGTGCTGTACCTAACACATTGGTCAAACTATGAATTTTGGTATGGTAGGCCCTTACGTTTATAACTGTGCCACGGGAGGAACGTTAAAAGTCCCCACAGTAGTTTATCGGGTAGTTTAAGTATTTAAAACTCTAAAATCCTTAATTAATATTCTCAAAGTGGACAGATCGCAGATAGACTTTATGTTTATGTAATTTGCGCCAAAACAACACATTAAAAAAATAGAACTGAGGTTAATTGACAATTCCATTTAAAATGACATAAAGTTCCCGCTTTTATGACTAATGGTATTTGCTCATGCGTAAATATATTTTATTTATTGACTACGGGGTTTTCAAACTTTTGTGCAAGAGAGCCGCACCCTGATTATGGATGTTCTGATTGAGAGGCTTAATTGAGTGTGTAAAAATAGATACATGTTATTTATTTATTCCGCATGTTTGAGGAAAACCACGAAGTTAGGAAGTATTTTCATAGCCAGTGTTTTCGTAACTTTTATATCTAAATAATTTAGTGACATTTTCCATGCTGAACGACTCTGAAGAACCGTCGCGATACATGAGCCGTTAGAAACGGTTTGTTGGTTCCCGCAAGTGGGCAATACGGTCACCGTGAACGTCGTACAATTTAGTGCTAACTGTTTTTAATTTTAAGGTTCGTGGAATTGGAGATTATTAGGTAAGGTTTAAAGATATAAACTAATATTATTTTGCGTTAAGAAAGACATCGTTAAAACAATGCAGAGTTTTAAAATTTTGTGTATTTTGGTTTTTCAAAGTAAAATCGTTAAGACGCATTATAATCTATACTAGCGTATAGCCCATCAAAAACGACGGGGCAATGTACTACTACCCCCACCCCACAGCATACCCTAACCTCACATTTCATAGCTGACTGAAATAAATATATTTTGAGAAATCAATCTTGTCCAACTAAGAGCCAAAAAAAATGCAGTCGAAGCAGTCAAACGTCAGTAAATTCATTTGTGAGCCAATCAAAATTAAGATCTTTTATGAAATGAATTCGTGGCATATTCATAGAATAATTATTGGTAAAAAATCAGTTACATTAACACTGACAGTGCGTTTTGGTAACACTGCGTTCCAACAATGGCTTTTATGCCATGTTGCTTAGCAACAGAAGTATAACCTAATCTTGTTGTTAGTCTATGTACTGAAAGTATAAAATGAATTGTATATAGACAACAAAACTGGAAAAATATTTGTTGATTTTTTAATTTAGTCTCCATTGATTAAAGAGGTTTGTTTTTTATTAAAAACATTAGTGATATAAGAGAAAATAGCTTAATTCAGAAACGATTTAAGTTTAAAATTGTATAGATATTTTTACTTTTATAATAACTTTTATGCACTTGGCTCTAGGCTAGGTGATACCACACTATGTCTTTACTTTAAACCTATTATACCAACACTCACTACACTTGTAAGGTTTCATGGCACACTTGCACCCCATCACTAAAACTTTAATGGCAGGCACTAGACAGTAACTGAACTATTCTACCTGGATAAATTAATTTTGTCTTTTATGGCTCCTCCTATTTTAAAAAATCAAGTATGATGCAACTTGACACACATTGGCTTTTTATATAGGTTAGATACTGTGTTGAGTCTCATAACAAATCCATAATGTTTCACCATTTTAAGTCTGCATTTCAACTTCAAGTATAGTTTAGACCTAAGTAATATTACTTTAAATTAAACACTGTAATGTTGTAAAGTGACTGTGTATGTGGTAAAACTTTTTTTTTTCAAAAATATGCTTGTCATCAAATGACTTGTCAAGTTATGTGTATAAAATAAAAAATATATTAATTAGTGAGATTCTCGGATAAAATATAAATTTAAACTTTACATAAATTGAAAGTAGGAAAGGAAATAAACAATTTATAATCAACTTGTAATCAGTTCAAACTGGCAGGTAAAAGATGGACAAACATATTTTGTGCCTGAATATGGCATTTAATTAATACTATGGGGGCTAAGTGTAAATGTCATGACTTTTTTACATAGTTGCATTTCAAATTTAATTCAATGCAAGTCAATAAACTTGGCATCAAAATGTAGTTTATAATTATAATTTTAATAGTACATAAGATTTAATTTCATAATTTTGAATGGAAATATTTAACTTTTTAAGAAAATTCTCAATCTTCATTGTTCTACATCATGTGACACTGCTTTGCCCCAAATTGCCCATTTTAGGTTTTCTTTCAACTCCTACATGATCTTTCAAGTTTGGCACACAAATTACACAATTACAGTACAGACATTGCTCGGCCAAAATATAAACTTATAGCTTCCAATCTTGCTTTACTGAGGTATGAACAAGAAAGTAAAACCCACATACCACGCCTTCTGTTATTACATCCTGTCTTTCAATAAATTTCAGTTATTCTCCCTGACATTTGCTAGTGGATTGCTTATAACTAATATAAAGAACAAGTTGCACACCATGTAAGTTACTTGTTTTGTTTGAGCTGTAAAAGTTGATAGATTTGCCATCAGAGCTAAATGGGTTCAGACAAATACAGTGATCTGAGAAGGAATGAAATTTTTAACCTATTTATTGGTTAGTTATAAAGCTACCTGAATTATTTGTGTTACAACCAACATAGTCACAAAAAATAGGCTTAGGAAAGCAGGAACTTAACTGCAGGTTGGCATAAAGCTAAGGTAAACTCTTGTTTTTTATTTCTTATATTTTTTTTAACAGAGATATCTAGAGTGTAAATATTAAAAACTTGTTAGGTTAGATAAGAAAACTGATGAAAAGAATAACACACAAGTAACATAGATATGTTGCTTGGCATAACCTTAAACTTCCTTTATCCTAAAGTCCACACTCCAGTTGAGTGATATATTGCCTTTTGGGGTAGTTATACATGGTTCAAAAAGCATTATGATAATTAAATTAAAGCAGTTGTGAAAAGGTAAGAAAGATAAAGCTCATAAGATAACTGTAATTTAATGTTGCAGTTTATCATTCTGAAAAAGTATTTTTGATTTTATTTCATGTTTTTCATCTTTTTCTACAGATGATTTCACTACAGTTAGTCTTAGGTAGAGAAAAATAAGAGGTAACTTGTAAAGTTTTACTGAAAAACTTGATATTCACTTTGGAGGTTCTAGAGATTATGCAAATGAAACTATCAGAAGATGGAAAAAAGTATTCTTAACATGAAAATCACTTTGCACTCAAACTAGTCAAAATTACTTAGTAAATTCAAAGACAAGTAGAAATACTTAATTAACAGTTATGATATTTTTGTGGGCAACATATTTGTATTGTTTACTAAAAGCTTACCAAATTTTATTAAGATATACAGTAGAATTGGAGTTATAGTAAACATTTCTATATAAATAGCTTCACAGAAATGGGGGTTTGTGCAATGTTCCAAAGCCATTCTAAACATTTCATAAGTCCTTCATTTACTCAAGTTGTTTCCTCATAAAGAATTATTAACATAACATACAAGTAACTCTCTGGGATCAAAAACAGAAATTTCAAATCCATTGTCCACACTTTTATTTCTCTGGAATTCTTCAGTTAAATTCTTGTAATGCATCAGCTTCCACTACTGCTCGTGACAACTGATTCCATGAGTCAGTCACCTTATTTTTCCAAATCGTTTTATCTTCAGAATATAACACAAAGATATGGGAGACGTTTATTTTCCTAGTAACCCCCCCCCCCCGATAATTATGTAAACTTCTTTTCTGAAGAGAAAATAAAATATTGTTACCTATATCCCTGTAAGATAAGCCCTTTATATCTGGAAATGAACCCTTTCCAATAAGTCAATATTCGTTCTTGTACACAGTACTCCAAATCAGTACTAATTAGTAATTGTATAAAAGGAGAATTACTTATTTTGACATATAATCAATGGGTCTATAAAACACTTAAAATCTATTAGTAATAGAGCACTGCTTCAATGGTTTGAATGACTTATCCATCATTTCCAAGATCCAATTCAAATATCGTCATACTATTGAGTAGGTTGCTATGAATATCAAACGTGATTCATCCAAATTACTATAACCCAAGTACATTATCTTGATTTACTGTAATTAAAGTTTAAATAGTAAATTGATAAACTATGATTTATAAACATAATGAACATTATGTAGAGAACATAGTATATTTCAACAAAATGTTGGTCTGCCACCTTCCCTCATCCAGGTAGTGAACCCATATTTATTTTCCTTTATGATACCATAATTCACTAGATGAAATTATACAGCCTTTTTACCACACTCTTAGACTAGAATTTTTCCCATTTCAGAAGTAACACTAACTGGTCTATAATTTCTAAGACATCTATTATTATTACCCCGTTTAAAAATACTAGTAACATTAGCATTTCTCCAGTTCTCAGCAACTCAACTGCCCACCCTTTATTGACCTACCAAAAATGAGAGTAGCTAACATATCTGATCTTTAACCTTCTTTAAAATCCTGATGATGAGTGTATTTATTGAATTTGGAACTTTGAATCAGTGAAATAGATATGATGATTAAATTACAACTGGTTATAGTTTAAAATTAAAGCAGTGTAGAAGTAATGGAACAGAGTAGGAAAACAAGAGTTAAATGTGTTTATATTTATTAAACCATAACAAATAGTTTATTGGTGTTATGGATGAAATGAAATTACTTTTGAGTTAAATACTGATTAAAGCCACAAAACTAAACTAGTGTCACATACAAAGTTATATTTGCAAAACTAGAATGATTATTCGATGACGAGGAACCCACTTTGAGACTAATAATGGCTGGAGATGGGTTGAATGGGTAATGAAGCA